GGGAACCCGGGCTGGATCATTTGGTGAATATCTGGTTTGTACATCCCCTCGGTGGGTTCCATCTTGGGGGGTGGGGAGCCCAGACCCAAGTTCTGGGCCTCTCCCCATTTCCCGAGCCTGCTGCAAACTGACACTCCCTCCTCTGGCCTTTGTGTCTCTTCCAGACAAGGAGGCCACCTGATCTCTTTGTCCCCAACACCTTCAGTTGGCACCTTGCAGGGGAAACTGAGGCACCCACACAGTATTCAGAGAAAACATTAAGAACATTCCCACTTCGTCACAACAGGTGCAACAAAATATAATACTGTATATTGAAGCAGGCAAATGCTGCTTCTGTTTTTCCACTTTTAATTGACCCTTGTAATCTTGTGGCGCCGGTGCGTTGTAGCTTCATTTTATCCCAGCAACAAATTCTTGATTTGTAGGACCACTAATAATCAACAATGGATTTTTCTGATAGTGATATTGTGCAATAAAGAGAAACATTGCACTTAAATGCTTACGGCTTCCAGTCCATGTTTACACTATTTAATAAAATATATATATCGGCTTACAGGGCGGGAGCGGTGGGGGGGGGGTACCACCATTTTGGGCACCACCAAAAATTATACAAACCTGCCGCCTATGGGTCTGGAGGCAGGTAGCCTGGGTGATGTGACTGCCCCATGGTTTTGTAACATGACCTGCAACACAGCCATGGGTGTGGCCCAGAACAGGGCCGGCCCTAGACCATATGGCGCTCCAGGTGAGGAGTGTCTTCAGCGTCCCCCACTCCATTTGTTAAACTTTTGAATACCTTATTTTTTATTGCTTTTGTAGCCGATTTCATTACTTTGATGCATGATTTGCATGCATGATTTATCCCTGTCATATAGGATGACAAATTTGCATGCTAGGATCTGTACATCAGTATTTATTCATGCCATATATAAGCAATTTAAAAAAAAAGGTTTCCTCTAAGCTTATAGAAACTTTTTAATTTCAAGAATAACTGAAATGTACTAACATCAAATAATTGAACTGTGCACCAACATTGGGTGGACCAGTATTAAATAGTGTTACAATAGGGGACAGACTTAGAGTATTAACCCTAGTCCTTTAGTTCAAAAGGGCGCTTTGCTCGCCTTTGCCCTCGCACTGATAGTCTTTGCCCATGGGATGATCACTACTGCCTAAAGCCTGGTCTATGTTGTTCTGTTTCAGATATTTTCCCATCCATAGGTGCCGACTTCCCCTCTGCCTGGTGGGTGCTCGACCTCCCCACCAGCCCCTGGCCCCGCCTCTTCCCACCCATGCACCACCCTCGCCCCACCCCAATTCCACCCCTTCCCCAAAGTCCCGGCCCCACCCTGCCTTTTCCCACCCCAACCCTGCCCCCTTCCCGTCCCCATTCCACCCCCTTCCCCCAAGTCTCCGCCCTGCCTCTTCTCCACCTCCTCCCCTGAGCGCACCGCATCCTGGCTCCTCCCTCTCCCTCCCGGAAAGTCATAAGCACTGCCAAACAGCTGTTAGGTGGCGTGGGGGAACACGGCATGCTCGGGGGGGGGGGAGGAGAAGGAGGCGAGGAGGTGGGAGCTTGGCTGCAGGTGGGTGCGGAGCACCCGATAATTTTTCCCAATGGGTGCTCCAGCCCTGGAGCACCATGGCGTCGGCGCCTATGTTCCCATCACATTTGCACCTTGCTACAACACTGAGCCCAATACTGAGCTCTTGAAGGCTTTTTTGGGGACATTTTTTATTTTCTAGGGGGGAAAAGAGACAGCATTAGGGACAGCAAAAGTCATAAAAAGTCATCAAACATTACATATTATGCATGGCAAGAGAAGTAACAGCATTTCTTTTATATTGTTGCATAGATAGGGGTTCGATAGATATTTTTGGTGTCTCATTAAATATGCCCTTTATTAGTCGCTACTTCCACTCTTCAACTCTTAAAACACAAACACACTTTCACAATATTGCAGCTGGGCTCTCACTTCACTTCACTTCGGTCTCATATCTCACAGACTGACTGGCGACGCCCCACCCCTTATATACCCATGGCTGGGGCATGGCTGACAACACTCTAGGAGGTTCAAGGAAAATGTGGTTCGGAGAGTCTGGAAGATTCCAAGAAATTCTACAAAGGTCCAGAACATTCTAGGAGGTTAGTTAAAAATGAATCCACAACATTTCACTTCAAACGTTCTATTTTCCCAGCACCCTGACCCCAGCGCCCCTCAAGCCTGGCGACCCAGGCAATCGCGTGCATCGCCTGCTTCTGAATACGACCTTGACCCAGAAGAAACACTTGCATTCCTCCCTGTCCCTGCTCTTGGAATAGCCTAGGGTACATGGTGACCCTGGCCTCCTGCCTTTTCCAATTGGCCTCATTTCGGGGCCTCTCAGCAAGTTGAACGTATTCCTCCCTGAGCTTGTCTCTTACTCCCAAGCCCCTCCCTCTCAGAGACACTGTTCATAGAACTTGGAGGTTGTGCTTCCCTTGGCTGCCTTCCTGAGGGATTTGAGCCCGCCCCAATCCTTTCACAATCTCCTTGTAAAGATCATGCAAATTTACATGCAGCCTTTCCTTCTTCCTACAGGAGCAGCACCACCAGAGGAGAAAGGTAAACTCAGACTTCAACTCTTTGGCCTGTTACTGTTAGGAGTTTGTCTGTCTGTTCTGTTGTCTGCGCGAACAGCCAGGCAGAGCAGCCTGTCTAGGACTGGTGGGATACACATCCAGGAAGAAACCTGGGCATTTTAAGACCGGGGAAGAGGAGCTGTGTGCATTGGGGAAGAGTATGACTGGATGCACAGTTATAAAATGGGTCTATAATGTTATTGGGGCTTCAACACTTGACTCATTTTAGTCTGGGACTGCAGAAATGGTCAGTGTTGCAGACTCCAAGCTTAGGTTTTGTAAAAGGAGAGGGGGCAGGATTATGAATTGTCTGGTGATTTACATATGAATTTAAGACTCTCAATGGTAAATTATTTGCTAGTTTACAGCATCTTTATTTGCCTTTCTCTAAAATTCCTTTGCTCAGCAGCTTCTAAAATGTGACTAGTTCTGGGCAGCAACTAAAATATTCTTCATTTGCTCTTTTCAGAGGAAAATGAGGTCTGAAGAGACAAAACTAAACTTTCCTCTCCTGCCTTGTGTGTTGGCAGGAATGAAGAGGGTTCGTGAAGGGTAATTAGAGTTGACGCTGTCTGTCATTTGGGAGTGCTTCAAAGCCTGCTGATTTCAGGCTGAAGAACACGTGATTCCCCATACACAGACATACACGCGAGTAGTATCAAAGTCTGCCGTTGTCACTAACTTGAACTAATGAGATTTCCTTACTGCTTAAAGTTTGTTGTTCGATCAGTGAATGAGAGTACTGTGTGTTCCTTCTGGTCATGGTGCTTACAGCCCTGCTGCCCTGCTGGGTTGAAAGTTTTATTATTAACTAGTTATGGGGTCACAGAACGTGGTTACTTGACTTGCTGCAGATAAGTTATCTCTTTTTAGGACTTAATAGTTTTGAACTCCAGATTTCACAAAATGCATGTCGTGACATTTTCAAAAGTGCTTGGTGTTGGCCTAACTTGGGCCCTGAAAGTGCCTGCACCCAGGTCCCATGCTTTCCTGGAGTCCTTCTTCTTTCCTTGGGATATGGCTACACAGCAGTTAAACACGCACAGCTGGCCCATGTCAGCTGACTTGGGCTCATGGGACTCCGGCCGCAGGGCTGTAAAACTGCAGTGTAGTCATTTAGACTTGGGCTGGAGCCCGTGCTCTGGTAGCCCATGATGGGGAGGGCTCCAGCCCAGGCCCAAACAGCTACACTGCAGTTTTACAGCCCAAGCCTGCAAGCTTGACTCAGGTGACACAGGCCAGCCGCGGGTGTTTAACTGCTGTGCAGGTGTACCCTTGAGTCTGGAGCAATAACTCACTCCAGGCCCTGCATTCCTAGGGTGTAACACTACATCCCTGGTGGCTGAAGTTATTGTCACTGGGCCTGGGCTTTAGAATGTGCCCAGCGTGTGTAAGTAATAAGTCTGGAGCATTGGACTCTCCACATATTTGCTTGATGAAAGCACTAGGAAGCAGCCTGAATTAATCCAGTAGTCTCGCCTGAGAAAGGGCTGTTACAAGAAGTGATTAGTATTATTTTTATTATGGTAGCAGTTAGAGACTTGATTAAATTCAGGGCTCCATTGCGTTAGGAGCTGTACAAACATGTAGAAAGTCAGCCTCTGCCCCAAAGAATCTTGTAGTGAGGTGGTGTGGGACCCCGCCACCCAGGAGACAGACAAGCCCCTCTGGCCACCAGAGTGGGAGGAGCCAGGGAGCTCTGAGCCCACCTCCCAGAGGGTCAGGAGTGGCACAGGAAGTATAAAGGCCTGACCGCAGAGCTCACTGGAAGAGCAGCCGCCGGGGAGACCAGATGCTTCTGGCCTACCTCCTGGTTGGGAAGCCCCAGTGACCTGCAGTGGACCCAAGGGCTGGCCAGGCCTGCTCCAGGCCAGCTACCTGGAGGAGTTGCCAAGCCTGCCCTGCACCAGCAATCCCCAGGAACCCATGGTGCTGGACCCCCATGAAGACACCACCCTGACCCAGGTACTTCAAGAGGGGGAGTCTGGAAGTAGCCCGGGAGCAGCTGCTCCTAGTCTAGCTGCAGCGCTGCCAGAGCCCATGTAGCGTGTTGCGGCCAGGATCCCCACTGACTCAGCAGCGAGTCTTCTGCTGCTGCTAGGGCCCTGGGCTGGGACGCAGTGGAGTGGGAGGGCGTGTGTCCCCCCCTGCCACCAACTCGTGGGTGGCCGTCTCCCCCTCTCCCAGGCCTTCACACCCAGGGCCTGGGCTCACTGTTGATAAACTGTTGTTGCTTAGCCCCTGCCTGAGGGCCTGAACACCTGACTCACCAATGTCATGCCCAGACCTAGGGCCTGGGCTGATGCCTAACTGTGTTTCTCCCCTCACAAGGGCCATGGAGGAAGACTCCTGCGGCCAGACTAATTCCCTGCTAGACCTCGTCCCAAAATTAGTGAGGCGGTGTGGGTCCCCGCCGCCCCAGAGAGAGGTGAGCCCTGGCCAACCTCTCTACAAGTCTAAATAGAGCAAGCATGTAAGAAAGGGACTATCATCATCTCCACTTTGCAGAGAGGGAACTGAGGCACAGAGAGATTGTGTGCCTTATCCAAGGACAAGGTACAGCTGAGATCAGACTGCAGGTCTCCTGAGTCCCCCACCCATCATGTACAGCAGGAGAACAATGCATGCGTCTGGCCTACTACAAATGTTTGTTCCTTTGCTTCTCTCCAACCTTTAAAGTAATTATCTTGACCTTGAGGATCAAGGCCCTTTGTTCTTTCAGGTAATAAAAAAGACTGTTTGCTTTTGCTGGGTGAGATCTGAGAGAGCTTGCATGCACATCAGACGTCTGCAGACCCCCACCTCCACCCCCCGTACACCTTTGTTGTGACAAAGGAGTCAGTAGGTTAGAAAGCTGAGCAACAAACTCTTTTGAAGCATGCTGCTGTCTGTTATCTAATGTGGTACAGTGTGCGCTCATCAGAAATTCCGTCGCTGCTTCAGTTTTTAACGGAAACATAGCCAAGGGCACGCACTATTAAACAGTTGGAAAGGGACTGGCCTGCTGCTGCAAAAAAAGAAATATCCCACCACACTCAGCTGAGTGTCTGAGCGCACTGGGAACATAACTGATCTTCCTGTCCAGCTGCTCTCCCATCTTCTCCCCTGCCAGTTGTACTCTGTTGAACTCTTCCCCTCCCCGAGCATGACTTCACCAGAAGATTACCGTCGACAGGACTGGAGGATGGTCCATGACATTCCAATGGTCTGTGCATTTTCATACCACTGGGAAAGGATTGACAACTTCCAGAGCAGGCCAGATGACCTTGTGATAGCCACGTACCCCAAATCTGGTGAGTTTTCATGGCTTTCAGGATTAGGAGCCACAATGAGTCCTGCCCTATGGTCCTGAAAATGTAGGGGAGTCCCTTCAAGCCCCATCATGTTCCCCTTGTGAAAGCGAAGCAGCTCCACTTATTCACAGTTGTTGCTAACAATAATGAGCAAGAATGCCAAGGAGACTTTCCAGTATTTCACAGCTCCCAGCCTACATTTCGCTCATTGGAAATGATCCCATCAAATTTAATGCCAAACCCATCTGGACTGGGATTTGTTCCTTCCTGAAATTATCTTTCTATGGCCTCCAGCATCTGAAACGGGAATACCCCGGCACCATGCAGTCACAGGGAGATGGATGGGCATTTCCCCTCCCCCACAATGTAAAGGGACAAACTTAACATAGTACACTTCTACCTTGATATAACGCTGTCCTCAGGAGCCAAAAAAAAATCTTACCGCGTTATAGGTGAAACCGGGTTATATCGAACTTGCTTTGATCCACCAGAGTGCGCAGCCCCCCCGCCCACGGAGCACTGCTTTACCGCCTTATATCCAAATTCGTGTTATATCAGGTCGTGTGATATCGGGGTAGAGGTGTATTTTCTTGGGCTGTCCTAGTGTTTGGTGATGTGCCTGGTTAGGCTGGAGACACAGGCCTGGTCTACACTACAAAGTTAGGTTGACATAAGCTGCGTTAGGTCGATTTATTAATATATGTTTCCAGTAGAACACTATCCGGGTTGCAAGAGGCTGGAGACTTTGTGGAGTCACTAAGGTCAGGTCCCGGGATACTTTGAGTTGTTCTGATTGATTAAGGAGGGAGACCGATGCACAAACTGTGATCACTGCAGTGCAGTGCCTTAGAGCCCAGGTACTATAAAAGAAGAGGGAAATTGAGGCACACATGAATCATTTGACAAGTAAAAGGTCTTTGGTTCCAGGGACAGGTGAATTCTGAGCAATCTAGGGCAGTTCATTTGCCAGCTGACCAATAATGTCGTTTATTATTATTATTATTTATTATTATTTATTATTTTATTTTTACTTGTTTTTGCAGCAGTTTCTGTCACCTTCACTCATGCTGATTAGCACTTTAATGCCGGGGATAGCTCCCAGAGTGAAATAATATTAAATGTGAGCAAGCCAGCAGAATCTGGCCCTTGAATTGATAGGTTGATTTTGAGTGGTTCATATATTTTACTTTAACCATAAACAAAGCAACAGGCTCAGAAGAGATGGAATTCAAGGTCTGGATTTTCTCCATTATGGTGTGGATGGTTTAAATCAGGGCTTCTCAAAGCCGGTCTGCCGCTTGTTCAGGGAAAGCCCCTGGCGGTCCAGGCCGGTTTGTTTACCTGCCGCGTCCGCAGGTTTGGCCGATCGCGGCTCCCACTGGCCGCAGTTCGCCGCTCCAGGCCAATGGGGGCTGCGGGAAGGGCGGCCAGCACAACCCTCGGCCCGCGCCGCTTCCCGCAGCCCCCATTGGCCTGGAGTGGCAAACCGTGGCCAGTGGGAGCCGCGATCAGCCGAACCTGCGGATGCGGCAGGTAAACAAACCGGCCCGGCCCACCAGGGGCTTTCCCTGAACAAGCAGCGGACCGGCTTTGAGAAGCACTGGTTTAAATGGTTGAGCCAGAAGGGCTCAGAGTTCAAAATACTGATTCATCTTTCCAAACAAAGATCACCAGCCATTCCAGCAAGGAACCAGTCAAGCCTTGCTGTGACTCTATGGCATAGCTTGGAGGGCTGTAGCACAAGCAGCTCTGTTGCACTGGCTCATAGGGAAGTCGGCAGGGGTTAGAAGAGGGGAAACTAAGGTGTTGGGATGGGAGAAGGGGCATCATCCTCTCTCTTGTCCCACATTAGCTGGGATAGGCCAGTGTGATGCATTATATAAATGGTAAACTCTCCTTGGGGCTGCAACCATGTCTTCTCCTGTGTCATGTAGGCAGCTGCTGAGTACAGTGATGATGCTCATCAAAAACATAACAATGGAAAATCAACTCGCAATTGTGTTGGCCTAGGAGAGGCCTCCCACCATCCCTGAAAATGGGTGTGGTTGCAGAGCTTCCACAAAAAGAGCTGTGAAGTGGGCCGCTTGCCATCAGTAACTGTATTTGACAATGCTGGCAAACTATTATGTTTGGCTACAGATTAATGATATCACATTGCTACTTAGCCTCGGGCGAGTAGAAGAGATGTAGCTAGAACAGGGGTTCTCAAACGTCATTCCACTGCAGCCCCCCCCTTCTGGCAACAAAAATTGCTATGTGACTCCAAGAGGGAGGACCGAAGCCTGAGCCCTGCCGCCCCGGGTCGGGGGGCCAAAGCCAAAGCCCCACTGCCTCGGGTGGGGGAGGGGCCCAAAGCCCAAGGGCTTCAGCCCCAGGCAGAGGCTCAGATGGTGGGGGTCCCAGCAAGTCTAAGCCAGTCCTGGCAACTCCATTAAAATGGGGTCGTGACCCACTTTAGGGTCCCGACCCACTGTGGAGAACCGCTGAGCTAGAATATTGAAGATCCTAAATGAATAGGCTGAATACCGTAAGTGCTGTTGTCTTGGCTGGAAGAAAAATGGATGGGGTTCCTGCTTGACTGTTCCTTGTGGGATAAACTTGGTTCTTGACTGGATTTTTGTTCTCTCGTCTTCTTTCCAGGCACTACATGGATAAGTGAAATTGTGGACATGATTCTGAACGACGGAGATCCTGACAAATGCAAGCGGGATGCAATTTTCAACAAAGTGCCCATGTTGGAATTTGCTGTCCCTGGAAAGATGTCACCAGGTAAACGTAGCACTAGTGTTGAGTGACTACAGACAAAAAGGTCAATGATTCAGTGTGGCTGGCTTGAAGCTCAGGAGAGGAAAGAAAGGATTATGGATAGAGCACTGGCCTAAGATTCAGAAGATCTGGGTTCAGTTCCTGACTTTCAGTGAGACTTGGGTGCTTTTGGAAATGTTACCTTTAATGACTTCTCTATCGGCATCAATGATCCCTTTGAACCTCTTCTTACCAGGTACAGAGAAACTGGCCAAGACGTCATCTCCTCGTTTAGTGAAAACCCACCTCCCAGTCCAGCTCCTTCCAATGTCCTTCTGGGAAAATGGCTGCAAGGTAACCAGTTGCTGGGATCTCAGACCTTCTGGATAATAGGCTGATAGGGGAAGTACCGTGTGTCTTGAGCGCACAGAATACTCCTGCTAGTCCCACCCTCCGCCAGGTTCCTCTCCCTCATTTTTACCCACTGATTCTTTTCTCCAGTGGGAAGAGGTTTAATTGTGAGTTTCCATGGTGATATCTACCTATAGCAGCATTTTTGCAGCTTTACCTTTACAACATTGGGATGCAAGTTTGTATTCACAGTTAGGCTGAGATTTTTCCAAGATCCCTAAGGGATCAGGACGTCCACTTCCCATTAAAATTGGCCTCATGGGATTCCAGTGCCTTTAGATAACATTCACTCGGTGTTGAGTTAGATGTTTTTCCAGCCGTCAGCTTTGCAGGCTCACCCTGGGATCTGACAGTCAGGCTGGGTTCTTTCTGGCTCATACATCATCATCAGTAACAAAGATCCTGGAAAGCAAATTCTGCCAACATCTGTGCAACACCCATTGTCTTAAAATACTGCTTCCTGGGCAATCCCCATTGTCTTCAATGGGGTTACCCACGCATAACTGAGGGGTAAATGTGGTCTTGCAATTGCAACTCAACTAACCGTTCCGCCTGATGGTATGAGAGCCAGAAGACAATCCAGTTCACTCCTCTGTAGCCATGTTGGCCCTGCAGGGCATGATGTATTTTGCCACTGTATGAATGGCTATGTCTGAATACACATGGGAGCAGACCCACTGACTGCTACACCCAGGGGAGTAGGACGATGCGCCCTGAGGGCAGGGCACTTCGGAATTGGATTGTTTCCATCCTTCAGAGGTAGGCTGGTTTAACCTGCGACTCGGGCTCTATAGGAGATCCCTAGGGAGATGCACTGAATTAACTAATCCCCCAGACATCCTGGTCACAATCCCTCCTTGGCAAACACCACTCCCTTTGGCAGTTGTGCTGACTGCCTGTTGTTCCCCTAGTGGAGTACTAGTACCGCCAGTTTCCATCCCTGCGGGGCCTGTGCACTAGGTTACACTGGCAGAAATGTGTGTTTGTTTTCCCCATTTTTACAGATAGGGAAGCTGAGAAACAGAGAGATCGACTCAAGAGCACAGAGTCAGTGGAAAAGCTAGTGTCAGAGCCAGGATTAGAGCTCCTGTAGCTTCCATTCCCATGCCCAGTCCATGGTGCTCTACTCTCAGACCACAGTGTCCAGGGGCGCTTTCAATCCCTGCAGCTTGAATTTGGCCCTTGAGCCACAGTTTCAATCCCCTGCAGTAGGGCTGGGATTTTGAAAGGAGCCTAAGGAAATTAAGCACCCAACTCCCTTAGGCACCTCTGAAAATCCAAGTCTAGAGCCACTCAGAACTCAAGGTCACCGAGGCAACGTGGATTCTTCTCTTCTTCTTGCCACAGATGATCTATGTTGCCCGAAATGCCAAAGATGTAGCTGTCTCCTTCTACCATTTTGACCTGATGAACCAGATGCATCCAGAGCCCGGCACGTGGGAGCAGTACGTTGAGAAATACATGGCAGGCCGAGGTGAGACTGACATCTGTTAGCAATTCACGGTCCTGAGGTTTTAAATTGAGGCTGCTTGAAGGAAAAGAGACTTGTAACTGCAGGTGAATTTCTCCAGGCCAGGTTCTGCCTCTTGGTGGAAAAAGTGGATGCTGTGCCTTTCAATGTACTCTCCGTATACTAGGAAATACAGTGAGAACAGAGGGAGGGAATTTTCCGACTAGACCAGAGAGTTTGAGTAGCCTCCACTGCATCTGTGCTCCCCTTCAGAGGGAGCAGTGGTTGGGGAATCTGCATAGCAGTGTGTCCACGGGCCCAGACCTTGTATAACTATAACGTAGGGCCAGATCCTCAGCAGCTGTAAATCAGCGTAGATACATGGACTTCGAAGGGAGCAATGGCTAATTTACACTAGCTAAGGATCTGGCCCATTTACTTTAATGAAGCTACGCTGACTTACACCAGCTGGGGATCTGGCCGTTGACTTTCATTGAAAGTATGCCAATACCAGCTGGGATCTGGCCCTAAGTTGTATTTATATAAGAATTAGTTAATATCTAGTTTCTGCTCCAGTCACATAAAATAATAGATGAGGATTCTAACCTGACAGTGGAACCAAAGGGACAAAGAATTTGACTTAGTGTAGGCAAATAGCCGCAACTGATGGCTTGTGCCCAGTTACCCAATTTACACAAGATGTCATAGGAATTGCACACACAATGCACTTCAGTGGCGTTAAGCCAAAAGAGAACATGACCCCCAGTGACCTGACACGCTCGTGTTACTAAGAGTATTTGTGTACCTTTTTCTCTAAGTTTAGTTGCGTATGGTTCCTGGTATGACCATGTGAAAGGCTGGTGGGAGAAGAGAAAGGACCATCCCATTTTATACCTGCTCTATGAGGACATGAAAGAGGTGAGAGGGCAACAGGTACCCACTTGAGGGGCCACTCCACACACACCAGGATGGCGGCAACAAATCTGACACCTGTTCAATGCCTTACCCTACTGTGCAATGTCCATCTGAAGAGCCGTCTGGCTGTCCTGAAGAGAATTTGTCTCTCTAGGGTAGTGCGGTCCACCATGAGTAAAAGGGCCAGAGCCTGATCTTGGATGATTTAAATGCGTTGGCTGGCGCTAATACGACCCCTGAGCTGCGAGCCTCCCTCCTTCCCCATTTATTCTCCCTTATCTAGAACTGTGTCTAGATTTATCATGAGGCTCATGATATCAAATGGATTTATTCTCATAACACCCCTGTGAGGGAGGTCAGTGCTGCTATTCCCCATTTTTACAGAACTGGGGCATAAAGAGGTTAAGTGACTTGCCCAGGGTCACACAGGAAGTGTGTGGCACAAGGAACTGAATTCAGGTGTCCTGAGTCCCAAGCTAGTGCCCTAACCACTGGGCCATTTTGCTTTCCCAAAGCCTCTTGCCTATGTTGGAGTTCAGGCTTGTGGGAGGGCATATCTTGAAGAGCAAGCACCAAAAGAGAGCTCCTTTCTTTAAAGAGACTTTTAACCCTCTCATTTCAAAATACTGATGTAGCACATTTATTAAGAGGCAGGAAGGGGGGCGGGGGAGTTAGGGAAGCATATAACTAAAGATGGGGGAGCTAGTCTAGAAGTGACTTAACTTCTTGCTCAGACCCAAACTGAACGTTAGATGGCAAGTATCAGAGGGGTAGCCGTGTTAGTCTGAATCTGTAAAAAGCAACAGAGGGTCCTGTGGCACCTTTAAGACTAACAGAAGTATTGGGAGCATAAGCTTTTGTAGGTAAGAACCTCACTTCTTCAGATGCATCTGAAGAAGTGAGGTTCTTACCCACGAAAGCTTATGCTCCCAATACTTCTGTTAGTCT